ATTTGACAGGCTCAGAAAAGTCAAAAATAGTGAGATATCTTGCAGAGGGATGCAGCAGTCTCAAAATTGCAAAGTTTCTGAAGCGTGATCATCGAACAATCAAGCGTTTCATTCAAAATAGTCAACAGGGTCGCAAGAAGCGTGTGGAAAAACCAAGGCGCAAAATAACTGCCCATGAACTGAGAAAAGTCAAGCGTGCAGCTGCCAAGATGCCACTTGCTACCAGTTTGGCCATATTTCAGAGCTGCAACATCACTGGAGTGCCCAAAAGCACAAAGTGTGCAATACTCAGAGACATGGCCAAGGTAAGAAAGGCTGAAAGACGACCACCACTGAACAAGACACACAAGCTGAAACGTCAAGACTGGGCCAAGAAATATCTCAAGACTGATTTTTCTAAGGTTTTATGGACTGATGAAATGAGAGTGAGTCTTGATGGGCCAGATGGATGGGCCCGTGGCTGGATTGGTAAAGGGCAGAGAGCTCCAGTCCGACTCAGACGCCAGCAAGGTGGAGGTGGAGTACTGGTTTGGGCTGGTATCATCAAAGATGAGCTTGTGGGGCCTTTTCGGGTTGAGGATGGAGTCAAGCTCAACTCCCAGTCCTACTAGTTTCTGGAAGACACCTTCTTCAAGCAGTGGTACAGGAAGAAGTCTGCATCCTTCAAGAAAAACATGATTTTCATGCAGGACAATGCTCCATCACACGCGTCCAAGTACTCCACAGCGTGGCTGGCAAGAAAGGGTATAAAAGAAGAAAAACTAATGACATGGCCTCCTTGTTCACCTGATCTGGACCCCATTGAGAACCTGTGGTCCATCATCAAATGTGAGATTTACAAGGAGGGAAAACAGTACACCTCTCTGAACAGTGTCTGGGAGGCTGTGGTTGCTGCTGCACGCAATGTTGATGGTGAACAGATCAAAACACTGACAGAATCCATGGATGGCAGGCTTTTGAGTGTCCTTGCAAAGAAAGGTGGCTATATTGGTCGCTGATTTGTTTTTGTTTTGTTTTTGAATGTCAGAAATGTATATTTGTGAATGTGGAGATGTTATATTGGTTTCACTGGTAAAAATAAATAATTGAAATGGGTATATATTTGTTTTTTGTTAAGTTGCCTAATAATTCCATCCATCCATCCATTCGCTTCCGCTTATCCTTTTCAGGGTCGCGGGGGGCGCTGGAGCCCATCCCAGCTGTCATAGGGCGAGAGGCAGGGTACAGTAATAGTCACCTGCACACACAGATATCCCCCTAAAATAGCTAAAAGTAAAAACAAACTAAAAACTACTTCCACAAACATTCAGCTTTGATATTAATGAGTTTTTTTGGGTTCATTGAGAACATGGTTGTTGTTCAATAATAAAATTATTCCTCAAAAATACAACTTGCCTAATAATTCTGCACTCCCTGTATATACCCCATGATTATACAATATCTAGGCAACAACGTTTGATTGCAAGTGTTATGCAATAAACATATATTCTTAGTGCTTATTTTCTGAGTATATTGTTTTATGTATTTTAATAATAAAGGCTTGAAAACCAAGGCCACTTTTGACTCACAAACTAAGTGCTCAGCCACACTGAAAAACAGGAAGTTAGTGTAGAGCTGTACAAGCATATAAATAAAAACAGGAAACCAGACAGAAAAAAGAGGAACTAGTAACATATAAGGAGTTGTTTGTATCGAGGCTGTGTGTGATGTGTAAAGTACCAAAATAACACCTATATGAGACACATTTTTAGCTTCTAATGTTAGAGTTTCTACAACTGGCTTTGGGCTGTGAAGGGCTCTCTCTTCCGGAAGATGATCGAATAAAGAATTAGAAATGTTTTGACCACTCTGAGTCGGATTTTCTCTGTTCTATCATGGGGATCAAAGAATCGGGTTTAATACAAGGCAGTTGCACAGGTGACCTGGTAGCAGGCAATCAATCAATGGGTCGATCCAAAGTTAGAAAATCGGTCACAGATGTGCATCAAGTTTAAGCATCATGTCTGCTCAGTGACATATAATTGGAGATCAACATGTTCCTAAATAAAAAATTTATAAAGAACAAGGTTGCAACATTCTTCTGTCATTCTGCAGTTAAATTTAGTCCTACAGCAACTATGATGAAATTTGTGGACAAATTTCTGAGTTCATGTTTCAAATCTATGAGGCACCGCCTGGGAAATAAATGAAATAAACACTTTCAAGCACGGAGAATAGAAAATAACAATGATTGTTGCAAATAATCACAGTATCATTACAAACAGCAGATGAATCAGCCTAGAAACTTTCAATCAGTACAGCTCTGCTTATTTTCAATTAATTATATAAAATCAGATTTTCTTAATGTTTCGAGTGTTTCAATCAACAGAGAAAGAGATCTGATTAAACATGGCAGTCATGTAAATGCAGGAAGTTAGTGTATAAAAAATGAACCTGTTGGTTTCTGGAGTAGAGCTCATTTCTCAGTCTCTCCATCTGCTGTTTCTCTTCCTGGGCTTGACTGATGTTTCCATAAAGCTGCAATTAAAAAGAAACAAAAACATAGAAGACAAAGATATGTTTTTATGTTTTTGTTATAGCATTTGGGCGATTACACAGAGTCAATAAATCAGTTACTATATTGAATTAAGAGCTTGATATGATATAAATTTTAGAATGGAGAACCTGAAGAAAAAACTGTATTTGAATTTCATTATAAGTAAATTATTTGAGCTTTGTCTTAAATTAAGAGTTTTCATATAAATAAAGCAAGTATGTGTGACATCAACACACACTGTTTCAATAAGGTCAACAAATCTCTCTGTACATTTTCAACCAACAACAACACCCTGCAATAAAAGACAGTCTTCACCCTGATGAGAAAACATTGAATCTCAGAGTGACTGATGTCTGTAAAACTCTGAGGAGAGTGAGTGTATGAAAGGCATCAGGACAACATTCAAGGACGAGTACTCAGAGAGTGTGCTGAGCACAGATGGGCAATAACGCGTAATCCGATTACATTTTCAAGTAACAAGTAATGTAACAAGTTTACTTTTTTGGAGAAGTAATCAGAAATTACTAACCAATTACTTTTTTCAAGTAACGTGATCAACACTGGTGCTAACGAGCATTCACACGTCCTTACAGACGTCTTTAACACCTCGTTGTGGCAGACTGTTGTTCCATCATGTTTCAAATCTGTCTCCATCATATGTTTTAATGCCACCTGCCCTTTGCATTAACTCCCTTAATAATGAAGTTTTGGTAGAGTCCCTTCCACGTCAGTCTTCGTACTGGCCAAACGGATCCACAGCGCGATGTCCTCTGCTCTCTCTGCTCTTCACCTGAGCTTTACATATCTGGAGGACACAGTCACGTAGAAGTGCTGTTTGTTGGTGGATCATCCCCGAGGAACTGGTGAGAAAACTGACACCTTCCCCAGGTATCAGCACCCCCATGTGTATCGGGCTGCTGGTCTTCCTCACTGACAGAACTCACTCAGGCTACGTCCACACTAATGCTTTTTCGTTTGAAAAAGCATCTTTTTCTCTCCGTTTCGGCCTCCCATCCACACTGAGACGGCGTTGTCTCAGGAAAAACGCAGCATTTTGAAAACCCTCTCGAAATCTTTCGCCATCATCTCCACTTTATTCCCCCCACCACCATTCTTCTGAGTGATGCTTTCACTGACCTTTGATTCCAGTGTAGGAAATGTTTGCATCAGCCTCTGAATGATTTCATCCAGTTCCGTCTCAGATTTGGACATCTGTCAGAAAGAAAGACAGACAGATGTTGATGTTTCAGCACTTTGTTGATAAAGTGACAAAATTGTTGAAGCTCCACAGTGTGAGCAACATGTTTAAACACACAAAAACTAAAATCACTTCATTTCATAGACATTTTATTTAAATACGACTACTGCTGGTTGCTGCTACTCTGTTCCAGCTTATGACCTTCAACCACACAAGTCTCGTATACTCTAAAGTCTGAAAGCACATTTATTTGTGTTACTGTCTGTTAAGGTTTGTAGAATAATAATGAACTTAAACAAAATCACACCTTTAACAAGGATACAGTATCTTTAATGAAATGAACCTGAGCAATATTCTCACTCTTGTCTTTGTCTCTTCACACACAGTTAATCACATCAAATGCAACAATAAACAGAAGCTTTAAATCTCACTTCACTTACTGCTATTTGATCAGGTGTGTGATAACATCAATATTTAATATAGAAGCTCAAATTTCAAAAGCACAAAATGCTGTCAGTTTAGAAGATAAAATTAACATAAGAACATATAAATATTCAGCTCTGGCAGACTGCTACATATCAAATTTGATGACACATTGATTTTAGGGCAGACTTTTTTCTTCTTTGATGTGGAGCATTTTTTACAGTGTGTCATCCTGTTTTTGCCACATCCACAAAATCTCGGTTAAAGACTGTGTTCATTTACTGAGATCCACAGTTTGTATATCATAAATTCTTTTCTCATATTTTAGACATTTAGATTTAGATTAGTTTATTTATATCGTACAGTCTGATGGTGAGTAAATACTGATGTTTACAATTATACTATTCACAAAGAGAGTTAAATCAGCAAAATCACAATGTTTATAACTGAAAGACAAACCTCTGGATTTTTGTCCTCCAGCTGATTCTTCAGTTTCTCTGATGCTTCTTTGTCCTGCTTGAGCTGATCAATGTTTTCAGTCGTCTTCTCTAACTGCAGCTGAAATGTTACACGAAGAAAGAGCAAAAGAAAAAAAGTTCATGCTTCAGACACAATAATGAAACAAAACCAGAGTCACATTAAAGCTGTATGTCAAGATGTCAACAATCTTGCAGTGGTAGGATTTCAAAGTTGTGTTTGGTTAATGACACACAAACTGCTGCTGGACAAAACTGCAGGAATATAAGTGCACAGGTCTGTGATCATTGGGAGGATGACAGCATCACATGTGTCCATGTTTACCTCTGTGTGCTGAGAGATGCTTTCACTGACCTCTGAGTCCAGTGTAAGAAATGTCTGCATCAGCTTCTGAATGAAGTCAGCCTTCTCTAACTTAGAGTTGATCATCTGTCAGAAAGAAAGACAGACAGATGTTGATGTTTCTGCAGCACTTTGTTGATAAAAGTGCCAAAATTACTGAAGCTTCACACTGTGAGCAACATGTTTCCAACAATTGTGTCCCCTTACACAGTCTGATTGGTGTGTTTTTTATTGATACAGACTGGGACTGGGACGACGCGTCGACGTAATCGATTATGTCGACACGTAAAACATGTCGCTGTAAAAAAAATGTGCGTCGATGTGTCGTCACTTTCAAAACAGACATGGCGCAGCGAGTAGCAGCAACATGAGTGAGGCAGCCGCAGTCGACTTAAATCACTCCACCCGAACACGCAGTTCTACAGTATGGGGATATTTTAACAGAAAAGGAAGTGATTCAGTCGTTTGCTGGCTGTACCTACCACATCAACACCATCTGAAAGGCTTTTTTCAGTTGCTGGAAACATTGTCCCCAAAACAGGGCAAGCCTGACTGCTGAGCATATAGAAATGCTAACATTCCTCCACACCAATGCATAACTACTTCATCTGATGAACGTGATTGAACACACACAGAAATAGGAGAGAAGGCAGCAAAATGGATATTTTGTTAACAAAGAGCACTTTTTTTGCAGAGAGCAAAGTGAATGTTAAGTGTTATTTGTTCAAAGACGCCATTGCTGCTGTTTATATTTTATTCATTTTTGCTAAGATTTCCTTTTTCATATTTGTTTTGCACAACATTTAATTTTTTTGTTAAAAACAGAAAACTGTACTACAATTTATTGTGGATTTTGTTTTTATTAAATCTCCAATCCACAACTACTTCATGTAATTAACATGATTGATGATTGAACTCACACACACACAGAGAAACGTGAGAAACGGCAACAAAATGGATTTTGTTTTGTGAATGAAGAGCACTTTTTTGCAGAAAACAAAGTGAATGTTACATTTTGTTTAAAGACACCATTGCTGCTATTTATTTTAAATGTTTTGTTAACTTTTCCTTAATGTTTCACATTTTATTTCTTGTTAAATGCTATTTCTAATATAAGATTGTAGGCCTACTACTACTACAACTTCTTTTGCAATGTTTTTATTAAAAGGTGTTCAAATGAAGAAATTTGTGTTTTTCATTGAGATACATAAATTAGTAAATGTGAAATTGCTGTACAAGTCAAATAATGGGGAAATAATCGATAATCGAATCCAATCAAAATAGAATCGGATTGAAAAATTAATCGTTAGATTCATCGATTAGGAAAATAATCGTTTTGCCCAGCCCTTATACAGACTGTACAGAGTAAAATATAAATAAAGTAAATTATTTTAAATATAGTCACAAACAAAAGAAAGCTATCCATCCATTGTCAACCGCTTCTCCTTCCCAGAGTTGAGGGGGGCTGGAGCTATCCTAGCTGTCATAGGACGAGAGGCAGGGTACACCCTGGATAGGCTGCCAGTCTGTGCAGGGCTAACCCATAGACACAGACAACCATTGGCACCCACACTGTGGGAGGAAGCCAGAGTACCCAGAGAGAACCCACGCAATCATGGTGGTTAGCACTGTTGCCTCACACCAAGAAGGTCCTCAGTTCAATTCCACCATCAGGCTGGGGTCTTTCTGTGTGGAGTTTGCATGTTCTCCCCGTGTTTGTGTGGGTTTTCTCTCCAGGTACTCTGGCTTCCTCCCAGGTTAATTAGTAAATTGCCCATAGGTGAGTGTGAATGGTTTTCTGTGTCTATGTGTTGGCCTTGCGACAGACTGGCGACCTGTCCAGGGTGTACCCTGCCTCTCGTCCTATGACAGCTGGGATAGGCTCCAGCGCCCCCGTGACCCTGGGAAGGATAAGTGGAAGAGACTTGATGGATGATACAATGATTACACATGAAAATTAAAGTCACAATACATTACAATACAGTTTTATTTATATGGCACATTTAAAAACCCGAAGGCACACCACAGTGCTTCACAGTAATATGGAGAATCAACATAAGTCAATGACAGGGTACAAATCAGGCACTAGCACAAAAAGAATAGAGGCAGTAATAGACCAGAGTTAAATAAAATAGGCATCAACCTCAATAAAGAGGGAAGGTCAGATCTCGAATAAAAAATCCACTAAGAAGACAAAAACCGCAGTAAAATTAGTAACGAAATAATACATTTAATAAAAGTTTAAAAGGGTATTAAGTGGTCAGGAAAGCCAAGTCAAATAGATATGCTTTCAATCTTGATTAAAAGGATTGGATAGAGTCCAAGGCACGAATAGAAGCAGGGAGGCTGTTCCAAAGGTTGGGTGCAGCTGAAGCAAAGGCACGATCACCTCTGGTCTTCAGTCTAAACTTAGGTTGGGCCAGGAGTAATTGATCTGATGATCTTAATGCACGACAAGGAGTGCACAGATTGAGGAGGTCAGTAAGGTAGCTGGGCACAATGTTATTCAGGATTTTAAAAGTGAGTAACAAGATTTTAAACTCAATGCAATATTTGATAGGTAACCAGTGTAGATCAACAAGAGCTGGAGTAATAGGATCAAATTTCGGCGAGCCGCAGCATTCTGAACGAATTGCAGCCTTCAAAGAGAGAAGGCTTGTAGACCACAGTAGAGAGAATTACAATAATCTAACCTGGAGGTCACAAAAGCGTGGATAAGTTTTTCCAGGTCCCTGTGTGGTATATAATGCTTAGCTTTAGAAATCTGCCGCAATTGAAAAAACAAAACAGATTTAACTACAGATGACACTTGCTTATCGAGCTTAAAGGAGCTATCCAAATAGACACCCAGGTTATGCATAGAATCAGAGAGAGAATTAGCTAGGGGCCCCAGCAGGGCAACAAACTGGTCTCGAGGAATATAGCGGTCGAACACCATAACTTCAGTTTTTTTCTCATTTAAAATGAGAGAATTATCTGACAGCCAATCTTTGACCTCTCTCAGGCAATCGAACAGGAAGTGCAGTGATGCTGACAGATCATCAGTCAGTTGACAATAAATTTGAATGTCATCAGCGTAAAAGTGATAAGAAATATTGTATTTTTTTTAAATATGGAGCCCAAGGGTAGCATATACAAAGAGAACAATAAAGGGCCCAATACAGACCCCTGGGGCACACCACAGCAGAGAGGGGCAACAGAGGAAGCGTATCCTCCCATCACAACAGAGAAGGATCTATCGGTGAGGTAAGAATTAAACCAGTTAAGGGCAGAACCCTTGATGCCTACAACATGCTCTAGCCTCCTCAAGAGTATATTATGATCAACCATGTCAAAGGCTGAAGACAGATCCAATAAAACTAAAACGGCAGGGCGACCAGAGTCAGCAAATACAAGAAGATCATTATAGACTCTTAGCAGGGCCGTTTCAGTGATATGGTGTGGCTTAAAGCCAGACTGGTATTTGTCAGTAATATTATTTGCAACTAAGTAAGCATGTATTTGGAGAAAGATGGCTTTCTCTAAAATTTTTGATAAAAACGGAAAAGATTGGCCTATAATTTGCAGGGTCTTTCTGATCGAAATTACTTTTTTTTTTCACAATAGGGTGCACTACCGCATGTTTAAAAGCAGTCGGGACACAGCCCACAAACAATGATAAATTCATTAAAAATAAGATGTAAGGCCCTGTTTCCTCAAAACCTTCCTTGATAAAACGGGAAGGAAGGATATCATGCACAGAATTTCAGTTTCTTAATTTTTCAATTATTCCCTTAAGAGTGGGGAGTGATAACAGCTCAAAGTGAGAAAAGGTGGACAAGCATCCTAAAACCGCAACAGGATTCAACACGAGTGAGAGTGTGAAGCCTTCAGTAATAAAACTTTTCCAGTAAAATGATTAAGAAATTGCTCACAGAGAGCCTGGGAGGCCGAGCTTGAAGAGTCCGGACAGGGATTTATCACTGAATTAAAAATTTTGAATAACATTTGAGGGTTGTGGCTATTAGTCTCAATAATATCTGAGAGGAAAGCTGCTTTAGCTGCCTTTACAGAGTTCTGGTATTCCTACAAAGCCTGTCTTTTTTCCACCTCCTTTCAGATTGACGGCAGACACGACATAAGGCTTGTATAGTGGCATTTAGCCATGGTTGATGAGAAGTTCTGGGACGTTTCATCTTTATAGGGGCCACAGTATCCAAGATGGAGCAACAGGTGGATAACAGATAACATAGCGTTGGCAAAATCATCAACCAAAGGAGGTGTGAAACAGTTAGTATCCGTACAATCTGGATCAAAAAAGGCAGAGTTTAAAAAGGCTGTAATGAAGTCAGCCACAGTCTCAGAGTTAATGATATGTACAGGGCGATGACAGCCTTTAGAATTTAATTCAATAGCACGTAGCTCAACATCAAACATGACCAAAAAATGTTATGTGGAGATACAGAAATTATTTTATTGCTGCCATATAATCTGCATCATTATAACTGCATTAGTAACATTCTTTACAGCATTATCTCATTTAATAATATTTCTTACAGTATTGATATTGCATTTGAGGATCCTTTTATTATGTTTACTTTTATTACAGGTACAGCCAGAAGTATTTTATACACATTGCATAAATATTTGTGCTCATTTAGAGTTGTTGCATTAGTCTACAGAGGGTCCAGACAGTTTATTGTGAAAGGACTAGTGCATAGAAGGATAACTGCAATGCATGCTTACAGTACATATAATACATATAATCTAGGAATGTGTCCGGCCTGAGGCCTTAACTCATTTGGTGTCTTACTATATTTTACTCTACTTGGTAGCAGATGATCAGAGTCAATAATTAGCCTCAGAGACCCTGAGGGCTTAAGATTATTACCTTGTATGGAAGGTGTTATCAAAATGAGAAGTTCTATGTCTGTTTATAGCTATTAAAGATGTACAAGATGTATGATTAACTGTGACTAATGTCTGGAACCTATTTTAATCTGTCATTGACGCCATGGGGGGGGCGTGTACCCCACTGCTTTATAAGTATCCACAACATGTATTTTGGTCAGAAGACATATGTTGATGTTTTCTCCAGGCTGTTAATAAACTCATCGTTTGATTGCACTTTTCTGGGGCTTCTGTGGTTTGTGAAACTGCTCTACATTGATCGATTTCGCGACAGTTATTTCTTCAGCATTTTATTTGAATGCAGTTACTGAAGGTTTGCACTACTCTGCTCCAGCTTATGACCTGGAACCACCAAACAAATAAACCTGTTTCTCCATCACCTTTCAGCTCTGATGATTCAGTAAGGACATCTCCTGGTTTCATCTTCATGTTTCCCTCTCACCAGATAACCAAACCATATCATGACCAGCAGCTTAACAGCTGTGGCTCCAGCAAACATCAGCTGATACTAAAAATGAATATTAAATAAATTCTAACAACAGCTGATCAAGCTTAAACGTGCTGCTGTTGTTTAGCGCGACATCCGCTGGTTTCCTCTTTCGGCGCAAAGTGGGCGATAAACAAACAAGAGAGAAAAGCCGATCAGCTGATCATTGATCAGTTTCATGATTGAAGTAGAAATGGGAGAGGGAGGGGAGAGAATGAGAGGAGAAGAGGCAGCTGTGCAGCAAAGACACAGAATAACTCCAGCTTTGTGCCTTTTCCATTGTAGCTGAATTAGGGGACAAACTGTTCCTTTTCACCTCAATAAGAAACGCGTAATATTTTCTCTGAATACCAGACCGGACGGCTGGCAACTCTAATAACTTATGAACAAAATAAAGTGAAACATCATTAACTTCATAGCACCCACCCAGCTGTATAGAAACTCCGTCATGCTAGCTAGCACGCAGTACGGAAAAAGTCAGAATAACGAAAATAAACTCCACCTAAACTTGGTTCATATCTGACCCAGAGAGACTGCAGGTCATAACTTCTTACCTGAAGTTCAGTTCACACTTGGACCGGCGGCCGCCTCGGGTCTCTTTTCCTTCTGCGTCCCTTTTCCTTCATCCACCTGCTGCCTCCACCACTTGCTAATGTTACTGAATCTGTGGAAGCTCCGCGATAGCCACCACACGAAGGAACGAGTAACGAGCCTATCTAAATCCCAGTAACGAGTAACGCGTTCCTGATTTTGGCATAATAACTAGTTACCGTGCTCGTTACCACAATAATAACGTAGTTACTGTAACGCGTTACTTAATAACGCGTTAGTCCCAACACTGCTCTTCACACACAGTTAATCACATCAAACGTAACAATAAAAAGAAGCTTTAAATATCACTTCCACTTAGTGCAATTTTATCTTTAATATAATAGACATTTGTTGTGAAATAAACAAAATAATATCTAAAGTTTCCTTCATAACTCTTTACAATACAGAGATAAACAGAGCTGGGTCAGTAAATTCTGAATGTTTATAATGGAAAGACAAACCTCACGATTTTTGTCCTCCAGCTTCGTCTTCAGGTCCTCTGCTCTTTCTTTCTCCTGCTGGAGCTGATTGATGATTTCAGTATTCATGTAAAATGTTACATGAAGAAAGAGCAGAAGGAAGAAATGTTCATATTTCAGAAACAATAATGAAAAAACAACCGGAGTGAAATTAAAACTTGTTCATGTTCATGTTTAACAGACAATAATGATAACACAACCAGAGTCACATTAAAGCTGTAAATAAAAGCTGTATTATGTAAATATAACAGAATGATATTTAAAAACTAATACATGAACAAGTATTTGTAAATAAATTGAGACCCTGGAGAGGTCACCAGTCTATCGCAGGGCTAACACTGTATGAAAGTCTCTGAGATTTTATGTTCCTAAAATATTGTTACGAGTGAGGTTATAGGAAATGACATATGCATAAGTTTGATGTGCTGCGCTGCTGCTCCAGAGGGAGAGAAAGTACTTCCGGGTCAGTTTTTTGTTATTCCCTCATCGTGTAAGCTGTGTTCCTGTTTGCAATCTTTCACAGTGATGCTCCGAAGGTTAAGGTAATGTCTGAACGTAAGTTACCTTTAATTTGTTTAGTTGCAAACTCAACTTTCTACCGAGTCATAGCGGCGCAATTTCACGTGGTGATTAAAGGCTTGTGCCGCCAACTGCTGCCATAGTGTAGTACTTCCATTCAGCCACACGATGGCGCCATTAATGATGGTTATAGCCGGTGAATGTCTCTGTTTGTAGTATGACATCACCACTGTGTTTAATCTGAGTTCTCTGTATATTTGAACCAAGTAATGTAATATTTACATAATTTGAGTTTTTATATATTATGTCATGGACATTATATGCATAGATGGATGTGTAACTTTATATTTTGAGTTTATATTAGTTGAACCACTGTTGCTGTAATATATTTGGTCTAACAATAACTTATTATTTACTACAGACTATTGGCAACATTGAGCTTTGAGGTGACAATAAACCAGCTGACTGTGACAGTTCAGCAATGTGGAAGCCTCTTGTCCTCTTTCCTGTGTTCTGACCGACACACCCTCTTGTTAGCTGCTGAACCTAAAAGAAGCCCTGACCTATTACTCCTCAATAAAGACAGAGACAGACAACCATCACATCTATGGGCAATTTAGAATCATCTGTTAACCTAACACCACTAACATGTCTTTGGACTGTGGTGGGAATCTGGAGAGAATCCCTGCAGACACGGGGAGAACATGCAAATCCAGTCAAGATGGGGGATTTGAACCCAAGACCTGCTTGCTTCTTGGAAATGGTGTTAACCACCATGCCACAGTACAATGTTTCAGTGTAGGCCTTAGATAACGGACAGTCTGGACTAGTCATTAAACAGCACTGGTTGAACAGTCTCAGCAGTGTCGGCGCTTTGCATTATGGATGAGGAGAGCACAACTTTCTCCTCCAGCATCTCCACTTTCTACTGAGGCAGCATCAAAGTGTGCTGAGCAGCTGTGTCTGCATCTGGTTTTACAGCTTCAGGGCCTCAGAGAGGAGATCACTGCAGAGAAGACTTCTCCTCCATCCATCCAGGAAGTCGAGCACAGATGCTGTCTCAGCAGAGTCCATAACATCATCAGAGACTCCGCCCACCCCCATCATGCACTGTTCTACCTGCTGCCCTCTGGAAAGAGGTTTAGCAGCATCAGGACCAGGACAGCCAGATGTTACAGTAATTTCATTCTCCAACCATCAGCACACCAACCACCCACCCTGACTGCCTCCCCCTCCCCTCTGTCCCCCATGACTGTATATTTACAGCAGTGTCATTTCATGGCTGAACGATGATTGTACACTTTTCTGCTGCTTTTGTTGATGTTCAATATATTTAAGATCCTGCGCAGCTTTTCCTTATTAATTTCCTTACTAATAAACTAAAATATTTCATATTTTTTATTCTCACATGGATCTTTCTTGCATTTTATACCTTTAGACATTCATTTTATTTATTTATTTTTATATTTGATAATGAATAAATGCACTGGAATTTCATTCTGATGTGCACTAACTGTTCCGAATGACAATAAACTGGCGATTTCATTTAATTCTGACACATTTCTGCAAGCCAGTCCTTTCTTTGAATTTCAACGTGGATTATAAGTTTGTTTAATATATAGAAACAGTTACTTTTTTAGACATTTGTTACAAAATAAACAAAATAATCTCCTTCATAACTTTACAATACAGAGATAAAGAGACATTTAATAGGGACACACTCACACACATGACAAATATATACCAAATAACAAATACTAACCTCTTCTTTAATGTCCTGCAGATTCTTTTCAGCTTCCTCCCTCCTCTTTTGTTCCTCCGGAAGTTTCGACGTCCAAGTTATTGGCCACTAAGAGATGGCAGACAAGCCAAGTACAAATACTTTGTTACTGTACTTCAGTATAATTTTTCAGTATCTTTACGAGATCCTTTTACTTGTACTCACATTTTTAAATAAATATCTGTACTTTTGACTAATTATATTTTCAGAACAGGCTTGTTACTTTTTTTTTTACGCACTGCTGAGGAGTCATTATTTTACATCACTGTGAGCCTTCAAATATCAAACTGATTTGAGCCAGGAGATGACGCATAAAAAGAGATGACATGTGCCAAAGTCAGAGGTTAAAGTGAACCCCTAGTGTGGCATCTCTTCATCTGAGCATCTGCTTTTTCCTTGCAACACATTGACCTACTTTGATGGGATTCCCGATTCCTGATCGTGCTTCAGTAAGAAACTTACTTATATTTGTGCTGTGATGTGCATGTAGCAGCCGTTATGTTGTAAAACAGCGCTGATGGCAGCAGCTGGTTGCACAGCTTGGTACACTCGGCCAGAAGAGGAAAAATCAGTTTGTGTTGGTCACGTGACTCAGAGTTGCTCTCCTCCACACAGTGCTCATTTATAAAGTGCTTTAAAAACCCAAACGTTTGAGTGCAGCTAGACAAAAAACAAACAGCACAAATGTAGTCAAATAAACTGATTTTTAGTTTTACTGTAGTTATTTTCCTCTCAGTTCTCGATTCTCTCACTAGTTAGCTAATGTTAGAGAATTGTGGATCAATATGATTGTCATTGTGTAAGATCATTAGATCTTTAGGATGAATACTGACTTCTGTTTCCTACACAGACACACACACACCACTGATCACATCACATGCTCATAGAGACACACACACACATCAGATGTTCTCTGTTGCAGACACACATGACACATGTTCACATGTGAGTGTTTTTTCTGTTCCATGATTAATGAGATGTTTGTGTGACCACAGAGTTAATAAAAGGCTGTAGGGGAGGCTGGCTCTTGGGAGTTGTCTGGGATCAGGTGAGGAGCTTGCAGCTCCAAGACCCTGGTCCTATCAGCTTCCCTTGCAAGTTAAAATGGATCGAGCTCTGTCTTGCTTTGTTCACAGGAATAAGTCTAAACCAGCAAAGCGCAGACCTAACAGCTAACAACATAAACTAATGTAAGTCTATCAGCCGCAAACAACCAACCACATGACGTCATGTACCAAATTGACAGAAGATGGCGCTAAACATGTTTTTAAAACTTTAAGCCCTTGTTTCTTAAATCCAGCTTCACAGTTACATCTATGTCAGTGTTTGAGGGCTCTGTGTGTAAATTAGCCTTTATATGTGCAGCTGTCAAGTCATCTTAAAGGTCCAGCTGCTGTTTTTCACAGGGAGAGAAAAGAAAGAGATGACTTCACTCAGAGATGGAGAAATCCCACTTTAACCTCTTCTATTCTCATCTTCTGTTTAGAGGAAAAGTCAAACCCTCTACAATGGAGACAACAGAAAATAGAGTTTTAAATTTTTCTTTTTTTTGTCTGCTCAATCTCTTCTTAAGTAATTCAAGCTAATTAAATATATTAGAATTAAAATTTATACTCAACTTATATTTGTATTCCCATTTACTGATATTATTTCATTATTATGTAGCTTTGAACAAAATAGCTGGTAACAATGCCCTCCAAGGAGCTGCTTTTACTTTCTTACTTTGAGTAAATTTCAGTCTGTATTTTTTACATTTACCCGTTTAAATAGCCTGAATCAGTAATTTAACTTTTACTGAGTATTTTTCTAACACAGATCTCTGTACATCTACTTAAGTACAGAATGTCTGTACTTTTGTCACCTCTGGTGCCATTATTAGGATGTAGATTTGTGTCAGTCTGTTGGATTGCACTCCTAAGGTTTATATTGTTAAATGGTAATTATGGGTAAGTGCATGTCACGGACTGCCGGGGCAGACCGTGTGGAGTGAGTAGAGGACCCAAGAGCAGACAGAGGTGAGGACACAAAACTGGATTTCGAACGAAAAGCGAGCCTTTATTGTGGCTGAGGACAAGGAGTGCAAACAAGGCAAAAGCGTAGTGACAAAACTAAACTATAACTAAACTGGGAAAGTGATACCAGGATAAACTATGAAGACACAGGAAACCATAACTATGACTACAAGGACTGGCTGTGACAACATGGAGGGTGGGAACACAGACGACGCGACACAGACTGTATGAAACACAGAGACTAAATACACATGAGGGATGATCAGGGGAAGTGGCCACACATGGGAGGACAGCTGACACACATGAACCTAACGGACAGGACAGGAGGAGTGAAACTGAATACACTGACAATGAATACAGACTTAAAAAGTAAAACAGGAAACATGGAGATTAGACATGACAAGAACTAAACATAACCACGCAGACATGATGCATGAACCAGGCGGACTTAGTACAGGGGGAGATGACATAAACAACTAAGGAACAAAACTAAACTGCAATCTGGAAATTAACTAGGTGAACTAAGCTAGGTGCAAATGAATACAAAAGATACATGAAACTCAAATACTGGGTCGCTCGACCCAGGACCATGACACCGCATTTTGGGGTTTGTTATGGAGTAATACAAAACTAATATAACACATAGTGTAATGGATTACTTACTGCGGGTAATAAATAATGTAACACATTAGTTTAAAGTGTAATGTGAATTACAAAATGAGCGCAACACTGATTAAAGCTACAGTTAATAAATATGAGATAAAACGCAATCATGAGGTAGTGTCAATGGAAAATTGTACTGAGTAGTCAGTATAAGCTTTTAGTGATATAAGTTTATTGATGATAGAATACTGCATGATGGCCTTTTCCTTGTTTAGAACTGATTGTTCTTTTGATTGCTCAGAACTGATTGTTCTTTATGAAACGTGTTCTGATATTTGTATCTGAATCTTTCCACAGCGATAGTAAGAAGTTGAACAAGCAGTTCTGACCTCGCACACACACACACACATGCTCATGTCACTGAACGAATGTATTCATTTCGCTTGTATAAATAAAGAACGCAGACGGTGACAGAGCGCAAGTCTGTGAGTGTCTCTTACGTGTAGGAGCGCTCTGTCACTTGTCCTCACGAGTAAAGACAACTGCAGTGTTTGTGTTTTCTAACTCAAGTGTCTCAGCTGAAGAACTGCGGGGTGACTTTAAGAAATCCCCTGTGAGGTAGAAAAACTTGTTTTTCATTGTTGGGTTGTATTTTTAAATCAATATGTTTCTTTTATGTATGAGCACACCTACTGTCTCTGTTGGTGATGTGTGAAGTCCAGGAAAAGCTTGATTATATAAAATAATTTCATCAGTAGCAACATTTTTACCAAAACAGAGACTGGTGTGACATTACTGAAGTAGTAATCTAATAATGATGAATGAAATCACACTGATGTTTTCACATTGTTTCTGCTTCATTCCTTTAACATCAATAGAGAGTTCTTTCTACTCAACCTTAGTAAATGCCCATAATGCACATGATGTCTGTGTGGTAACCGTGTGCAGTTTTTTTTTCTTTTTTCTGTTAAGCATTATTTCAGATAGTTTTATTTTGAAATTAGGATTAATATTCCATTTCATTTCTGAAAAACAATGAACATCTTGATATTTAATTTGTTTGTGTTTATCTACTCACGCATGAAGTCTTATTCCTAGTTTTGGGAGAAGAGCCTCTCAGAGGAACGTCAGCACCTTCCCCGTCAGTCTGATCCTCTGGGCTTCTGTTGTTCTCTTTTTGAAATTAAAATTAAATGAGAAGGAATGAAAATGAAAACATTGATTTATAGTAGAGGTAGGAAAAATTTATCAGTGACTTACTGTGTTTCTTCATTCTACATAAAAGGACAGCAGCTGATGAAATTAACAGCATGATGCAAAGAGCCAAACTAACAGCCAAACCGATGATGACAGAGGGAGAACTGGATGGGACCTCAAAGAAATCCTCTGAAATGGTAAAAAAACCAAAAAAAAACAAACTAGAAATCTGGACTTCATATGTTCAAAAAGTGTTTCTATCATGAATGCAATAATATAATTTGAACCTGGAACATGTATGTGTGTCTCTCTGTTCTGGCTGATTTTATTCTGTTGGACTCTGCAGGTGATGTTGTTGCTGTGTCTCTTCTCCACAGTCACTCTGCTGCTGACAGTATAGAGGTCATCAGGACCTCTGAGGGTCTCTGTAGGTCCAGCAGAGAGGAGGTTTCCCTCCCCGTCCAACCACAGCAGCTCAGGCTCTGGATACCAGCCTGCAGACTCACACTGTAACACCACTCCTGCTCTGTTTTTGTCAATCCCTGATAAACTGATGACAGGTGAGGTGGCAGCATCTGATGCTGAGCAAAGAGTTTACAAAAGATGTTAGTGGGTGAAAAAACTCCTAATATGGACAGTAATTCACAATCATTAAATTATTAATATTACAAAATTCTGATGCATTTAGCGTGTTCTCTTTTCTGAAGTCTACTTACCAACCACAAGCTTAACAAAAGATTTTTTCCCCATCATAGGAATGTGACATTCATATGTTCCTTCATCAGAGAGTTTTTCTCTGGAGAGTTTCAGTGAAATGTTTCCACGCTTCAGTTCACTGATGAACAGTGATGATCTTCCCCTGTATGAAGGATTTCTTGTGTTCACCAGATCCTGACCGGATGGACAAGTGGACAAATCTTGGGTTCAAGTCAGATCGTGTCCACTCCAATATCTGAGCTGTCACATCCTCTGCAGGCTCCACGTGACACGGTAAAATAACATCATCATCAACTAATGCAACTACTGGTTGATGTGGACCAACCACCTCAGACTCCACTATAGACAGGAGGAAAAACAAAGATGATGTGTTTTTTCATTTCTGCAGCAGGTGTGAATGTATATATATATAGTTAAAGATGACACTCAGAGCATTATTTTTCTTTCTCGTTTTAAAAATTTTGATGAAGAAACCTGTTTCACTAAATAATTAAATAAACACTTGCGGGCAGGCAACAAATCATAAAAATCAAACTATTAACTACTGTTTGTACCAAATATAACATATTTGCACTATTTTATTTATATGCACTGTAATAAAAAATATTACGCATGTAACATCAAACTTACCTCGATTTAAGTGTATTAGAAGATGGAAAATGAAAATACTGAAGACTTTGGCTGGAGAAAGGGAGAGTCCATCTTTCTGTGGAAGCATCCTCCTCTGAAAATACATCAAAATAAATACAAGTGTGGCCACAAGAGGTCATTAAAATAACTTATTCAAGACTAAAAACATATTTTACATGTTACATGTTTTAATATGTCAAGTACTGTCATGAGGCCTTCAACATGCACTTAGCACTATAACTTCCCATTAACTCCAGAGTTAAGGCACCAGACATTTTGTTACTGATTAAAGTGAACACATTACTTCACATTACTTCACATTAGTGCTAAATTGCAGCCTAGAGAATAACTTTTGGTCAGTGTCATCTTTAGCTTTGAGATGAACTCTGTCTGCTGCTGATTGTTTTGATTGTGTAATGGGCCTCAAAGAAAGCTTAGCTATCAGATAATAAGGTTTCATAGATAGGTACTGTATTGATCCACAAGGGAAATTGGTTTGTTACAGCAGCAGGGTAAAGAATAAAAATAGTGCAATCTGCAATAAACAACAAATAAATACAAAGTGATCGGATCAAAATCTGTGTTTATAGATTACAAGTTCAGAGTTGGATAACCATATCTGATGTTTGCACATGTTCTCCTTTATTTCAAAAGATATCCATAATAAAAGTATTTTAAATTTTATTATTTATTGTTTTCCATCTCATAATTTTCTGCACAGGAACAAACACTGGTCTCACCATAAAATCCATAAAATAGCCGTTTATGAAAAGTTGGAATTACAACTGGTAAACTACAGCCAACAGAGACAGTTTGGTGTGAGTGTAGACTGCAAAGTGAGCTCTCAGCTGCTTGACTGTGCACAGCTGTTGTAAATTAGTTACATATAAAAGATTTACAATGTTTTAATGTCTTTGGTTTTCTTTATACAAACAGAAGAAAAAAGTACTTAGAAGAATAACTCTACACAGACATCTACAGTATACTTTCACTTTCAAAACTTTCTTTTCTGCTTTCAAATGAAATATTTTAAACCGTTGTCATTCGTTTGTAAAATGTTTAATTACATTTACACGGATTTATTTATGTCAGTGAAATAAATTATACTATAATCAGACTTTATAACTAGACATCAGAAAAGCACGTAGAACTTAAAATAGACAATTTGAAAGAGACTTACTCGTGGAAAGTTGTGTGAGCCTACAAGGGTGACGTTTGAAAATCATTAACCTGCTGGCCTTAACTTTATTAACTCCAGATCCCTCATATATGCTCAGAGTTATGCAAAAAATAAACCGTGTTAATCAAAGTGTAATGCTCGAAAAATCCATTTAACATCCATTGTTGATTCTGGTTAGTTGTACAGTGTGTCAAATGGTGAACTTTGAGCCTGTATAAAATAATCAAGATGAAACCATATCCGTCTTTGCAGTGTTCAAAAAGGGGAAAGCATTCACATGGTAGGTGTTATCTCAGCTATCATAATGAAGGTGGCAGTAGAGGACTAAATGCACACTGATCAGATACTCAGGTTTACCAATGACCAAATGAATCTTTCTGAAGCTTGTATTGAAAAACGGTTCATTACTGAAAGCTTTTCTAAACAGTCCTCTTTGGTGACATCTGTTGACCAAAAATATGAAGAGCAGCTTGCGTCTACAACTTGAAATAACTGCTTCTTTGTGATTGCCCACTCTACAGAGCTGAGTTGCCAGCTTCTGTTTAATTCCATGTGACATTTTTGTGAACTATCAGGGTACTGTTGTGGTGTTTTGAACATGTATTTTTAGGGGTGAAAAATACATGCTGTGTTTATTTGATTAATAAATCAAAGAGGAGGAGAGGGAGGTCTGGGCCTCTTTGCCTAGGCTGCTGCCCCCACGACTGGGCCTCGGATAAAGCAGATGAAGATGGATGGATGATTTTGATAAATAAATATGTTTAAACATGTGCCGTGCTGTGTTCCCACTTTGCTTGTGACTTTTTTTTCTTTTTGTTAATAGATATTAAAATAAAATACATTGTATTGTATATTATTATATATAGTCTTATAATAGGTTGGGAGTATGCTTATGCCGTGAGGTCTTTGCCTCTGATCATGTCTCTAACCATGTTAATTAACAGGTTTGTTTATATATAATAAAACTTATATGTGTAGTGTATTTTTATGTTTGTTTTAGACCTGTCTTGCATACAGTGCCCTGCAATGATATTTAAGGAATATGCTACTTGTAGTCAACTCTTTTCACATTTGTAAACCTCATTTCAGTTGGGTACATACTTATGGGCTCAAAATGTGGTCATAAATATTTTGTACTTGTAAATCAGGACTTGTATGTGTAAAAAGAATTTGTGTGTGTGTAAAAAAGATTTGTGTGTGTAAAAAGATTTGTATGTGTAAAAAAGATTTGTGTGTGTAAAAAGATTTGTATGTGTAAAAAAGATTTGTGTGTGTAAAAAGATTTGTATGTGTAAAAAAGATTTGTATGTGTAAAAAGATTTGTGTGTGTAAAAAAGATTTGTGTGTGGACTTAGCCAAAAAAACCCTGCAAGTTACAAGTACGAATTTTGACCCTATTTTTCTTCCTTTCATCTGATTGGTGAATGTCATGTCAATCACAAATGTAACAATCCAATCAGAGAACAGATGGGTTTGGCTGTCGAGGGGCGCCTTTTTTGAACTGCAGGTCTTTGAAGGGAATAAATGCCCTTTTACATGCCAACCCAGCGTTTTCCTTCATCACCACGAAGGAAAACAGTCTGTGGTCGTCCGAGTTTAGTGATTTTTGTGTCACAGGTCTACGTGTTTAATACAGGGACTTCCACAGCCTTTTCAACAGCGCTGCGGACACGGGGGGCAGTGTTTTGGAAATGACAGTCTTCATTACAAAGCTTTCTTTGTTATGAATTAGCATACATGTTTTTATTTAACATTTGAAGAACTAGCAAAAAAACCCCACAAACTCTTGTACTTCACATAAAGTCAGAGATAAAAACGACAAGGAGCAGGTGCATCTAGTACAGGTAGAGCTGCTGCAAAATCCCACAGAGCCCAGCAGCCAGCGTAACAAATTCTGGATCCTTTGCTTTTAGTTAGCAGTTAGCATTAGCAGCACATCCTGCGTCCGATGTGAAAGGACTTTTACTCACAGCAATGGTCCCGGGTCAGCCCTGACTTTGTGTTAAACTAATCCTAAAGTAATAATGGTATTTCTAACCACTGACATACCACAACTTTATCCTTTCAACAGCTGCTGAAAGTAAGGGGACCTAACTGCTACGGATATTTATATAGAAATTACCCTTCAAGGACCTGCAGTTAAATCCACACACAACTCTTTTTTATGCACGCACAAATCTTCTTTACACATACAAATCTTTTTACGCACGCACAAATTTTTTTTACACATACAAATCTTTTTTACAAGTACAAAACCGATTTACAAGTACAAAATATTTATGACCACATTTTGAGCCCATACATACTATGTTACCTTCAACAGCAACTTAAATAGTTGGATGACCTATTGCAGTGTATAAGAGTAATTCTGAATCACATATTTTAATATACCGTATTTCCGGACCATAAGGCACCGGATTATAAGGTGGATTAAGCAAAACAAAACAGTCAGATAAGTCAAACTTTACTAAAGTCATTGTTTTTGCTTCCTTTACTTCTGTACCAATGATTCATTAATGTTGAATTCTCTTGCAGCTGCTCTATTCCCATGTTGTTGCAGTATATTAATGACTAACCTTGTATTGTGGATGGATTATCTCAGTTGTTCTCCTGACTGAAGTTTGGTCCGTTTACAGCATCCTCCCTGCGATCGCATTTGTCCCTGACCATCAGGAAGGGTTCCTGTTAACTTTTATCAAGTGGAAAAAAGTTAGTGTTCATCCTCCAGCTTCACTGTGTTATGCTTTATGTTATGCTAACATAGCTGTGTCACTAGCGATCACATAGCACATCATTATATACCAGCTAGTCCAACTTCAGTAATCGTACAAAAGTCACTGCTGTTTACTTTTCTGTCTTCATTTATGTTGTAAGTGATAGCAAAGCCTGGATGTTAAACTGAATTGTTACACCTGGAAAAGCAGCAACGCTGATCATTTTATTGAAGATGAAAGAATTTGGACAGTTTTTACCTCTCAGTGATGCTTCAGTGTTCGTTTGACTTTGGGACCTGAAATGGACAGAGTTTTGGACCCAGATTACTCAGAGTCTGCCAGGCTCCTGACTATGGTAGCCGTAATGCTCCGACAATCCATCAAGCAGTGTGGCTTTGTAGCTTACCAACGTCCTACTAAAACATTTTTTGACAGATTTTTGAGCGCCATGTACCACATAAAATCAGTTCGAGGTCAGTAAGAACAACCAGAATTCATATACAAGGCGC